CATTTATTTAGAGAACAATACACTTTCAGATTATTATTTTTTCCATGGTTATTTTTAAATCATTCAAGGCCAAATGATATTTTAACATCAAATCAAAAATACCCCAAAACTGAGCATTAAAACTATTTTACACTGTAAATTAAAGGGAAACTGACAGATTTATGATCACATATTTTAGTCAACAATGAAATATTAAATGTTTATTTATTCTGACCACATCATATTGAATTTTTGTAAAAAAAAATTAAAACAATATTTTTACACCAAAATAATTTAGGGGGGCTTTAAAATATTTTAGGGGGGCTCCAGCCCCCCTAAAATAGGCATAGTGATGCCTAGTGATGCCACTGGTGACAGGGATTAAAAGATGATGGGTTTTTACCGTAACTATAGGTTTACCTGGATATTTCTTTTAAAGTGTTGTTTGTGATGAGTGTGCAGGTAAGATTCAGGTAGAGCAGGCAGTGGCAGCCCTCAGTAATCCTCTGAACCCCTGTATCCTGTCAAAGAGCAAATTATAGATGTTACAAGTTCTCTGAAGGAGGTTTCTGCTGCATTGATTTCAAAAATACTTGTTAAAAGTGTGAAGGACTTTAATAAAATAAGCACATAAATAAACACATTCTGTTAGCTTCTTTAGCTTGATAACCTTTTACTAAAACAGAATTTTATTGGATTACATTTAAACTAGGCTGAATTTCAATTAATCTGTATAACTATGGCATAAATCTGACTATTAACTGACTACAACTGTATCAAACTGGAATGAACTTTGTTTGCTGCAACAACATGTGATTGTCTTTTGTGTTTTTGCATATGATTTATTATGAGGTGGAATTAAATCAACATTTAAAGGTTAGGCTGTCAAAGTGTAAATGTGTACGTGTCATGTAAAGAGGGTTTTTTTAAGCCTTTGGATTTGCTTCAAACCTAATGTTTACTCACTGTAACATTAATACACTCCGACACGTTGAGTTCCTGCAGATTCCTGCATTCACCTAATGAAACAAAAAGAAAAAGGCTTCTCAAACAAGCTGACGACTTCCATTCAGTTTCTCTTAGATGTTCCTAGATCTGAGCTAAAATTCAGAAGTGATCTGGCTTTTGCAGTTTCTGCCCCAAACCTGTAGAATGGTTTTTACATTTTGTTTACAGACCACTGAGACTGATGAAACTTTTAAATCTATGCTCAAGACCCATCTTAGATTGTTCTAGAGCTGGTGTTTTTATGTTGTATTTCTGTATTCTATATTAATTTTACTTATTTTTTAACATCTCTGTTTTTTTGTTTGTTTTTTTCCATGCATTTGGCTGAACTTCTGTTGTTTTTATGTGCCATATAAATAAATTTACATTGACATACTGTGTTTTGATATAATAAAAGTAAGACTAATACATGAAACTAAAAAAAGCAGTATGTGCTTAGGAGTCTTGCTTCTTTTTATTTTTTCCTTTCAAATTTTCCCTCGCACGTTAAACAGCAGCTGTGTTTCATCTAAAATCACACAGTTGCCCTTTGACACTTTCTCTTTAGTTCCAAGCCTGAGGACTTTGATCTCCTGCTTTGACCAAAGCTCTTGCTGCTGGAAGGACAACCCTGCAGGTCTCAGGATGCGTCTGATCCTCTTTCTGTACTTCATCCCTCTGCTGCTCCTGCTGCTTCCAATCATTGAGATGAAAAAACCCGGGAAAGGCAGAGGGCTTAAAAAAGCAAGACAGAAACTTGCACAGGACAGGTATGGATTTATTCTTGGGTGATAATCTCTATAATCCATTAACTACTGGCTCCAATGACAATGTAAAATTATTGAAAATCTACTATGTTTGTGTGTTTTAAAAGGCTGAGGGTAAGAGGTCACAGGCGCCAGAGCAGATCCAGGTTTGTGGCACCAAACTGTTTGGAGTTGTCAGAATCTGGAGAAGCCTTTGTGGACTGTCAGGATCAACATCTCACCTCCGTCCCCGCCTCAAACACCTGGTCCATAGAACCCAAGTTCTTCCTTCTCGCTCGAAACCAAATTAAAGTCCTCCACGACAGAACCTTCTTTGGCTATGAGCGTTTGACCAGTCTGGACCTCCAACAGAATCAGATCTCTCGTATAGAGGAAGGGGCTTTTGATGGTTTATCACAGCTTACAACCCTTCTGCTGCAACACAACCAACTGAGCACACTGAGTGAAGAAACTCTGATCCCCATGCCAAACCTTCACTACCTGCGGCTACATAATAACCCCTGGAAATGCCTCTGCCCCATGGAAAGCCTCATACGCACTCTTCAAGTCCCAAGCAACCGAAATCTAGGAAATCACGCCAAGTAAGACGTTTTATTAATTTACCAGGTGCATTTAGAAACATTTGAGTCTGAGTCTAAAACATCTCCTCTCTTAGATGTGCAGAGCCCAGCAGTTTAAAAAACAGGAAGTTGAAGAAAGTTGATCCTGATTTACTTTGTGAAGAATTAGAGCCAAACAACAACCTAACGGTCTCCATAGAGCCCAGTCCGCTCCTARGCAAGCCAGACGCTACAACGATCTGCCACACCTACTTCTTCCCTAAAACATGGATGGACTGCAGAAACCGAGGCAAGTCCACCATCAGCATTTTTTAAAGAATCAGTTTGATTAACGGCTCCCTGCCCTGAAATCCACAGTGTTTTGATTAATTACTCACACATGGTCTTATGTAACTGAGGGTTAAAGATAAATGACACAAAGTCAGGGAGCGGATTATTCGTTATGAGTGCTGGATGACTGAAAGGACTGAACTCCAGTTTCTCCAAACAGTTTTATGGTGAGACACCAATTGAACATCTGGTTTGTTGTGTGTTTTTATTTAGTGAACATTAGTGAATATTGCTCGCTTGATACGGAAAAAGGATCAAGTTTGGCTTGTGTGTCAGAATAAAAGCATTTATATTTTCCCAGTTTGGAACCAGGGATGATCCGTTAGAGCAGAGGTTTTCAAACTGTGGTCCCGGGACCCCCAGGGGTTCGTGAGTCGTGTCTTGGGGGTCCTCAAAAAATTTAAGAAATTGCTAATTTGGTTTTTATTTCAAAAAAATGCAAAATATGGGTGGGAATAATGGACTAATAAAACAAACATACTAAACCAAACAAAAATACTATTACCATGGCATTTAGGGGTTAAAATAACAGTAAATTATTTTTGCATYACCAGCATGGGGTTTATTAAGGGGGGTCCTTGGAATTTTTTCACCCTTGTRAGGGGTCCCCAGACCCAAAAAGTTTGAGAACCMCTGCGYTAGAGCAGTGGTTCCCAAACTTTTCAGCTTTTGACCCACAAAATACCACCAGCAGAGACYGGAACCCCTGTTTTCAGTTGATACACATCGTTTTCAYGTCAAACWAACAAGARCATATAACATTAATACACTRTTTTTGTCCATTTTAAGTACACTWATTTTATTATTTTGCAACAACAAAGGCAAAAAATGTGCTTAGTTGTCTTTTTTTGTGTAAGTAATTCAGAAAATATTTTCAGGACCCCACCTTAATGTTTCAGGACCCCCACTGTGGGTCCCAACCCCAACTTTGGGAACCACTGCATTAGAGCAGCCTTTAATACAACAACTTTGTTTTTATTTTTTCCCCCCAGTTTTCCCCAGTGTAGTAATTCATGGTAATGYATTTAACTAATCTTCATTTCTCTCTTCAGGTCTGACTCAGGTGCCCTCAGGTATTCCAGAGCATGCTGTTCAAGTTGACCTGTCCCATAATTCAATCCGTCACCTCAAACCAAGAGATTTCCAAGGAGCACGGAGTCTCAGAATCCTTAACCTCAGCAAGAACAACATGGAGCACTTAGACACGGGTGGGTGCTCCCAAACCTGCACACATATTAATACTTATTAGTGAAAATAAGACGACGCACAACTCTTAATGCTCGTGTTACAGGACATGAAATCATACCCGTAAACACTTAAACTTATCTTTTWAAGATAAATAGGAGATGGAGAGACCCAAAGTTGGGAACTGTTATACAACTGCTTCTGTTTCTCATTTGTCCGTTTCAGATGTAACGGGCGTTCAGCCATYTAAGTGTACACAGATTTACTTTTATTTATGATGGGGACTGCTGAGGGAGCCGCAGATATAAAGTAATCACTGGCTTCAATAAAATCAAACAGTTTATATCTGACTYGAGGCAAACCGATCTACCATATACAGTCTTATTTCAGGTTGATTGAAAGACTAGTTCTCTGATGACAATAATAAACAGATTTGTTCGCATATATGGAAGAAACAAATGAGTTCTACAGAAAAACAACCATATTTACTCTCTTTCAGGATCCCTGTCTGGGCTTTTGCATCTCCATGAGCTGGATTTATCGGACAACAAACTGGGTTTTATTCAGTATGGGGTGTTAGAAGATCTTTACTTCCTGTCAGAGCTAAAACTAGAAGGAAATCCCTGGGTCTGTGACTACAAGTGAGTTCTAAATTTAAATAGCAGCGAAGCCTTCCCTGGATCTAAACAATTATTACATAAAAGCTGCTTTTCTCCCCCCCTCAGCATCCACTACATGGTTTACTGGTTACGTCTGCACCCAGGAGTGAAGCACTCTGGATTGTGGTGTCACTCTCCATTGGAATACACTGGCCAGAGTGTGCAGAAGTATGTGCACTCCTACAACAGAGAGTGTCCCAAAGACAAACAACTCAGCAGACCTGACCAAGGCCAAACGGACCCGGAGCTTTGGGGGACTCCGATGGAGTTGCAGGGCGAGGTCGAGGAAGAGCTGGAGCCGAGCCACTTGAGAGCGCCGCAGAAATATCAGATCTTCAGGCTGTCCTGACTCAAATGAAAACATGGTCCAAAATCTGAATATAATAAGACCCTTTTCTAACTTTCATTTAAACATGTAAATTTGTTTTTTATATTGAAAAAATACATTCTGTTGTTTTAAGATAAGTCAAGAGTGTCTCTTAAGTCAGGCAGCACAGTGATGCAGTGGTTAGAGCCGTYGTCTCTCAGTGATAAGGTTTCAGGTGGAGTTTGTATGTTCTCGCTGCGCACGCGTGGGTTTTCTCTCACAGGCAAAAAACATGCAAGCTAGATTAATTGGTCACTTTTGYCGCTAGTCATCGTTTGTCTCATCGTCTCCGTGTGACCCTGTGATGGACTTGAGACCTGTCCAGGGTGAACCCCGCCCCTCCCACTGACTGCTGGATATACGCTTCAGCTCCACGTGACCAATGGTCTCTTAATTCAAAATACGAGGGCCGGTTGGAGTTTTTGTGTGTTAAATATGACCTGATTTGGGTTGTGCACACCTGCATCCAACCCAAAAATACATAAATATATTTAAAACAATTAAAATGATCAAAACAAGTGATGTAATCAGGCAAAACTCACTGATATGCTTCAGGCTGGAGCAGTTTAAAGATGCGCAGCGTGAGATGGGTCACGAACGGGTGGTAGTTCTGCAGGATTTGCTTCGCTGTGTCGTCGGTTACGCAGGCTTTTCCTGTCGAAACGTTGATCTAACGAGGACAAAAAGAGCCCAGTGCTTACTTTTCACACCAATATAAATAATTAAATACAAGCAGCTGCTTCTTTATACAAACTTGACTCAACAATGTGCCTGACTGGATGATGGATTTCCATGTACAACATACCTCCGAACAGTTTAGCCAGTTTCTCAAAGTCTAAATACTGAAATATCTTGTTGGATTGGGGAGGAATACTACATGACATTTATTTAAAACATTTTTCAATAAGGCTACTTTTTTTCGGGTTTGAAATTTGATCCTCAGGGTTTTATTTTGCATATTGAGCCGCTGGTGTCTTTACTGCGCTCGCTGCCAACTCTGCCACTTTTTAGGGCATTACAATGTGGACGAGCAGGCCCAGTCTGTTTCCAAACATAGTCACGTTAAAAAAACTATTTATCAGGAGAAGTGTTTCACAGAAACACCAGGGCAAAGACAGCCAACACTGCTCTCACTTTGCCAGCAGACGTAAATCCAAAACAAACAGACTCGACAGCTGCAAAGTGAGAAACACAGTCAGGAATAGCACTTGTTGAAAGTTACCTTGCAGCTGAACTAGACGCACACACACACACGTAAACATTAACAAATATAGGTTTAATATACATAATAATGAGCTGGAACTGACTTTGATCAAGTGCACTGAGAGACTGGATGTATAGTTTACAGTGGAGTTTATATGACAAGTATGATCTCATCASTGAAAGCTCACAGAAGAGATCTGCTGCAGCTTTAAAAACACGACCATCACTTCACTGAGCAAGAGTTAATCAGCTTCACCGACTATAAATAATACAAATAAACACATGAATGATGAGAGATGTGAGGTTTTCAGGCAGAACTGAGAGTCCATCAAATCGCTCACCTATCTGCTCATCTCTGTTGCTTACAGAAACTCGTTTCCAACCTCTGCAATGTTCATAGAAAAACAAAAGTTAGTTAAGAAAATGAAATGAGAATAAATGTAAAATGATTTGATTAAAGTTACAAATACCTGAAAGTACTCTTTTGTCCTCCTTGAGTCCTCTGTAACAACCTGACATGCAGCTATGATGTGCTTCAGGCGGCTGGTGTTTTCTAAAGTCTGAAGTTCATCAACAGCAGCTAAATATAGAAMAAGCTTTACACGTTTTTGTAAATCTCCAGTTATATCTTTCAATGACTGAAAGGGTCGTGGGGTAAGTCAGAGCAAAATCACAAATCAAGTTAGTCTGGACTGATCCCAAGACTATAAAAACAAAGTCAACATTGACAAGATGCTCAGGGACAGAATGAGTCACTGAACTGGAAGTCAACAGGGAAGAAATGAATGTCTGGAAAGTTTGGATACGTTATTTAACCAAATGTTTTCTCTGGCTCCTACCCTGAGAATGAGACCGCTTGCAAAATCCAATTCAGCAACAGTATTCATCATAATTTATTCACTAAGAAATGATTTTCACGTGCCAGCCTTCGTCTTCTGGCGTAATTTTGCCCAAATAAATCCCTAGTTGAGCGCTTTTCGTAGGCACTTCCTCTCAAAGTGCCTCTCGTCTATCTTCTGACTCCACAGTGTCGCTTTTTCTCTGCGTGATGAACAACTTCCACTTCCTGTCACCCAACAGCAAGCAGAGCTCATCATTATTCAGTGAGCAGGTATGCAGGGAGGCTGTGAGGGGTCCGCAGTAACTCAGCTGCTTGATTAAATCCAGTGAATTCAGTTACAAAGTTTTGTTTACTTTTACAATTTTTTTAACCGATATATCAGAGGATGTTGACTGACAGCTCCAAACGGGTGAAAGGTGTCCAAAGAGATATAGGAGATCCTTCTGAGTGTGCAGAAAAGGTTCTGAAGCCCATCAACACTTCAGGATGTTCAGGAAAGACAAGTTCACAAAAAAAGATCAAAGTCAAAAGTGCAACCCTCCAAACAACTGCAGCACCTGCGGCTAATTATATAGTCACTCTATCAGCTGCAGCTTCAATCAAACGGCTGCTGCTGTCTCTGCTGTAGGTGGACTCCGTGGAYTCTCATGGCTTTTTCATTTGGGTATATAAAATCACATTATGTTAAATCAACCTTAACTTGTCCTGTCACTTTCCAGGTGTTCAGACTTTCTTGTGTTTTTTTAGAGTCTCCTGGATGTGCATGCTGTTATGGGGCTCCATTAGTTTTGCTCCACAAACTGGTAAGAATTTCAGTAGTTTTTACATTACAACCAAAACAAACCATGAGCTCAGTGCACTTTTTGTTTTCTGATAGAGTACCAGGTCGCACATGGATACTATCTTCACAAAAGTCCACAAACTTCCACTCAGTTAACTCCTGGAGAATACTTAAACACAAACTATGAAGATAAAACAAAGGCTTCAAGAGAACGAAACCAACCAGATTTCATAAATAAGGGAGCCATGTTTTCAGTTGCCCACAATGACATCAGTAAGAATAAAGTTTGGATTAGACAAGGTAATGATCACCAAAWGCCAACTAGACACCACCCTTGGAACAATCTTGGTGACTCCACTGTTTGTGGCAATGAAGTGTTTAGCCATCAACCTGCTCTCCACAGACACAAGCATTTACCTGCCTCAGAACCTGGTCTTCCAAGTGGACGTAATGACATATTTAATAGTGTTTCCAAAAACAAGCATCTTAAGACAACCAACAAGAAGCCAACGCTAAAACAGTTTCCCTCTGGGTTACTACTTCATGAAGATCCGGTCACTGGCAAAACTGGCTCTACTGCTGATGCTTCAAACAGATCATCTCAAGATTTTGTCTACTTTTCACCAAAGTCATCCAGGTCAATATCTGTGCCTTCAAAGAAAAATATCAAAAGGTCAAAATATTTGCATCAAACAGGTTATAAAACTCCACTGATTAGTTTGGACAAAAACACAAAAGCTGTCCCCTTCCAAAAGCCAACATTTTTGAATTTCTTTGTACCAGAAAATCAAATATATGTCCCAAATTATGAAGTCAAACATAGGAAAAAGGCAGCAAAATCATTACTTGCATACCAATCAGGCGCTGGCAAAACAACGAACAATGACTACTATCCTCCTGCTGTTCAAAAGCCTGTATCTGTTGAATTTGTTACAAACTTGAACAATCTTTTGCCACTGAAGAGAAAGAAGAATTTTAGAGCAAATGTTTCAGACAAACCTCAGAAGGTGCTGGATAAATCCAACCTGGTGTTYAATGTGAAACCTCCACGTGGCTCAAACAGACTTCCCACCTCTTTGGGATATCAAAAGGCTGACGTTGAGCCTTTCAAACTTGCTAGTCGTTCAGAAAACACTGAGAAATCCCACCTCTACAATCAAAATCTAGCTTCTGCCCTTCAAAATGTTAATACAAAATACAACGGCAAAGATTCAATCCAGAAAGGAGTCCCATCTCGGGGAGCTGAAAATCAAATGAACTCTGTTTCAGCTCAAGACAGATTCCTGCTCCTAAATGGCGGCTATGAGGATGCAAAGAAAGCTGGCCTTCTGAAGACCTTCAACGAACCAGATGACATGAACATGTTTTCAGCCAGCTTGAAAAAAGAGCCCACAAACTTTGCGTCTTGGCCTGAACCCACAGGTTTGGGTTTAAATTGCGTTGTTTGGAAGAAYGCACAAAGGTCTCAAAAGTCATTGCGGCCCTCTGTAAAGAGATACATCAAGTCTGGAAACCGCTCAGGGAGGGCCACAACATATCTGTCAAAAACCTGTTATTTTCAACATCAGCAGGTTCAAGACAAGGCTGCTAATCGACTACAGAAAGCTGCCACAAAATGACGAGCTTAAAACCCAAGAAGCTAATGTGACAAAAGGTAAATAAACTACATCTCAAATAACTGCAGACATTTTTTTTTCCAGATACTATTTGAACTTTAAATTGTGCTTTTCACCCGAATTCTCTTCTTCTCTTGGTTTCATTAGGATGTTTCCAGCTGCAAATCAGGTTTCTGGTGTTGATCCTCCTCAACTGCACCCAGTACTTGGCTGGCTTTACATGCCTTTCTTTGCACAYATCTAACTGTAACCCAAAATTATGTTTTTGTTGCAAATATCAAAACTAAACTTGTTTAAGAGCTAAACAGCTGTTGATTTATTTATTGCAATAACACAAACTTAMTTGAAACTCAAACTTGTTTGTGTCTGTGAAAGGAAACCGCCTTGTCAAAACAGGTGAAAGGACTCCTGTAAAGTAATTATTTGCAAAATATTAAAGCACAAACTATACATTTGAGTTGTCTCACAAACCAATGTACATGATGCTTTACCATGTTATCATCCTGGCCCAAATAGTCCATGTCCACATAGTCGAGGAGGRTTGTTGTAGTTTGCTTTTCTGCCTCTATAAACTCTGAATATGAAGCCTTGTGTTCTAAGGAGGTTAAAGTGTGCTTATCTGCAGTGTATAAAGTACCTCAAAGTGATACTTGAGTAAAAGTACAAGTATATTATTATGAAATTACTTTGGTGAAAGTTGGTCTTCAAGAATATTACTTGAGTAAAAGTCTTAAAGTATCTGATTTTTTTGTAYTCAAGTATCAAAAGTAAAGTTCTGACATAAAATGTACATAAGTTGTAAAAGTATCGAGTAAAAATGGGTGGTTATGTTTTCCAAAATGACATTTATTGGGWGGTAAACTCTCCAAAAATAGTTTTTTCTAAAGGTGTGCAGCTGTGATGGATTGTGTACAATTTGGTGTCAGAATGGTATATATTTATACTTATTCAACTATTAAATTTACTCTTTCCAGGAGGCATAATCAATCAGGATAGTCATTTTTTAACAATAACGAGCCGAAATGACATAGGAGTCACGACTTTCTACTTCTTACCTTTAAAAATGTAAGAAGCAGAAAGTACAAATATGTGTTAAAATGTAAGGAGTAAAAGTAGGCTAAAAACTCAAGCACACATAAAAAATCTACTTAAGTACAGTAAAAAAGTATTTGTTCTTAGTTACTTTACAACTCTGCTTATTTTTTTCTGCAACAAACTTAAGCATAAAAATTTAGCTCACCTAAATGCATAAAACTGAGGTTATTTATGGCATCAGATTATTTAAACCGCAACAAACATTAAACAGCCCTACAGTAATTAAAGCTCGACGAAAGATAAACAGTACGTGCGTTTTAACTGGACTTATTACGTGCAAGAGGAAAAGTAAAAGAGAAACATTTCCCTGAAGCTGATTTGGTGGTCTGGATCAAGCTTTTAGTCAAATGTTGGAAAAGTGAGCCACCATGCGTTCAGTCACATTGGTACACAGCAGTCAACAGCCTGATGATGATGTCCCTGAAAGAGACTAGAAGAGTGTTTTGGTCACGAAGACCTGCCATGAAGTTGTCAATAAGGTCTATTAAAATAAAACAAACAAAAAATGTTATTCTGAAAATGGCTAAAAGTGGTAAAAGTAACGTTAAATGTTGGACAACCAATGCGTGTAGCAGCAGGAGGGAGTTAGGGCGTGCATTTCAACCACTCACTACGTTTTTAATTAAAACAGGTTATTTTTTAATAAGTTCTGAAAACTAATATGTACTGTTAAGACGATTAACGGTTTTGCTAAAGTAAATTATAGATAGAAACTTGCAAAAGTCACTCAGGGATAGATTTGGTTGGCCACTTTGCTAGTCCACAACAATTGATAATCTGTGGCTTTTCGGCAAAAGTTTTAGTGCGTTTACAACGATGCTAATGTCCAACCGATTTCAAGGCTGTATTTATGAGTGTTGGGTAACTAATAAGTTGGGTTAATTTATAAAGGTGACCGATTTGACTCGAATCGTTTTTTGAAGCATCGGTTGCTAACCAGTTAGCAAGAGATTAACATGGGCGATGGTAGTGTTGTTCCGAGGCTCGGCAACATGAAGGCTTTGCTTGGATTAATCGCTGGTGCTGGAGCTTCTTATGGCCTGTAYAAACTTATCAGCGGGCAACGTTTGAAGAAAAACAAGAAGAGCACGTCCAGTGAAAGCAGCCTTAAAAGCAACCAGCCAGGTGAAGTGAAGCTGCAGCCGGGGAGCCTGCTGGCCAGAGTGTCTGGGCTGGATGTAATATGTCCTCGGTCAGAAGAAGCTGCAGCAGGTAGATGTCAAAGAATCATTAATTCTGCAAGTACAACAGGGAGATCACCGCTAATTTCATCAATTTCAGTGAAGTGAATACATCGTAGGATACTAAAATGTTTAAGTCTCCTATTCAAACTACATTAGAATAACAATGTTTTGTCCTCAGGCGGGATCRTCCACCAGTCTCCTAACACTTTGGGGCCACAACACTTGAAGATGTTGCTGTCATGCCTGCAGAACAGTGATGATCAAAACCAGAAGTGTAGGGTTCTTATCACATTAGGAAATGCTGCTGCCTTCACTGTAAATCAGGTACACAAAAAAATATTTCTACTTCAAACCTGAACCAGGCTCACAGGTGTGTTCTTTGGTTCCCAAAGTTGGGCTTGGGACCCAATTATGGGTCATGAAGCACCTTGGATAATCTCCAGAAATCAATTTAAAGGGTAATATAATTGTTGATGTAATATTTTCCCAATAATTATTACAAAAACACAAAATAAGTAAAAATAAGTATTTATATTTGTGTACAAGCTGTTTAGATTGTCAAAAAGCGTGTGTTTTAGGGTTATTAACAAAGTTCGTGTACTCAGACCAGTAATATTTGGGGTCACAAGTTTTTGCCATGGATATTTTGTGGGTCAGAAGATAAAAAGTTTGGGAACCACTGATCTAGAACTCTGACGTTTTTAAGCTTGAAGTGTGGGTTTTGGAAAGCGATACGCCAATGCATGAATTTTTTTCATCCAGTTAAACCAAAACTTACCTGTTCTTAAACTGAAAGCTGTTTTTTTCCATCTCAGAATTCAACAACATAGTTGCACTTTCACATATCTCAAATTTCTAACTCATTGCTTTGTTTGAAATTATCTTTAGATTGATTTTTGTGTTTCTCCGCTCCATTGATCCTTCAGAATCTAATTCGGGAGTTGGAAGGGATTCACATCATAGCTCGTTTCATTTCTGATCCAGCAGCGGACGTCAGAGTGCAGACCCTGAGCGCTTTGAATAATTTATGTATGAACGTCCAAAACCAGGAACAAATAAAGGTATGTGGATGTAAACATGATCCTGCGCAACAGTTAAAATGTAACTGGCTGGTGTTCTGATCTTTTGTTTACATTTGTGTCGTTCTTTGTAGAAATGTCTGATTTTGTTTTATACGACAGCTTTATGTGCCACAAGTGCTGGAACTGATTGAAATGTCACCGGTGAATTCAGACCTGCAGCTTGGTGCTCTGCGGCTGCTGACAAACCTGTCGGTCACAGACGAACATCAACATTTGCTGAAGGAATCCATTAGGCTTTTTCTGTCTCTTCTGGTTGTGAGCAGTGAAGCGCTGCAGGTTTGTACTGATGTTGAGCTATTATCAATTGAAAGCAACTTGTTTTAAAGTAGACATGCTTTTTAAATTCTTTTTTTTTTCACATTAAGTCATTCAGTTGTGGTGTATATAAAGTGGAACTGCAACACTTTGTTCTGAGTTCCTCCTTGTAACTCCACAAGCCCCTCTTTCACCTCTTTGCTGAGGTGTGTCTCAGATCAACCCGTTTTGACGCTGTATCTTTAAATCCAAATGAGGCGCTTGATACCCTGCCCAACTTCCATACTGGTTCACTCTAGCTTGATAGAAGTGGTTATAACTATCTAGCTGCGTTAAAGTTTTATTTATGAATTATGATGTGAACAGAAGACTTGTCCATCCAGCCTTATGTTGGAGTCAGAGTCCGACCCAGAGCCAGAGGAGAATGAAGACAAAGAAATACTCATCTGAGAGTCTTTAAGAAAGTGTTAAAATTATAATAATTTGCAGAAAACTGATATTGAGTTACTCGTTAAATGTTTGTTTTCAGATCTAAAGTCTCTGTTTAATCCAATCATGTCTGTGGCCCTGAGTTTAATCCAAATGGTTTCTAACTTCTGCTTGTGTGTCCTTTCAAACCACAATATGTACAAAAAGCCTGGTCACACCCCTGGAGGTGGTTCCTCTTCATATAAACAATTATTGTTACGCTGCAGAAGGGAGACACATTCAGTAAAGACATGTTGATCCCATCACTGGTTAAAGTAAAGGATTACAACTGATCACAAAGTATAAGATGCATATATATCTATCTAAAATTCAGTTGATCAAGCACAAAATATTGTTCAAGTCCAGATCTTATTTGTCATTCCTGTCAAATAATAGTTCAGAAAACATAAAAGAAAATACCAAAAACTGAACGGGTCAATAAAAAATTACCCAAAAATACAGATATCTACGCAGCATCGACAAGAGACTAAATTCAAATTTTCTGCACTCCTAGAGACTCCAAGTACACAACAAAATGTAATTAACAACTAAAAAGATGGATTTTGCAGGATATGTTTCCTTTAACTTGTAAAACAACATGACTCTTAACTGAAATTAAATAACATGATGAGGTTAAATCTGTGGGAAAACTAATGGAAACTAAAAGGGTTGAGTGAAATATATTTGTTTGCGTTTTTTTTTTTTTTTTTTTTTTGTTCCAGGTTCAGACGCTGAAAGTCCTGGTGAATTTGTCGTCCAATCCAGATATGGTGGATGACATAGTTCAAGCTCAGGTAAGACTAAAAAGAGGGGAGTTAATTCTTTATCCTTTAGTTTTTATGCAAGTCCACTGGGGCAGTTAGCATGTTTTTAGCTAACACAGAGAAAGGTAAGGTTGTTCTCAGAATCAATCAAATCATGCTCTTGTAAATTCTCAGTTTATTTTGTGTGATTTGGTCCAGGCACCAGCGTCTGTGCTGCTGCTGTTTGACGATCGGACAGCCCCCGCGGTGCTGCTGCGGCTGCTGACGTTTGTTGGGAACCTGAAGGCGTGGAGGCCCTCGGCGCAGGTGGCCGATGAGCTGCGGCGGAAACAGGACAGCCTCTTCAGGGTCATGCTGGATGAATCTTCCCAGCTCCACAACAAACTTGTCCAGCTGCTATCACACCCTGACGGGGAGATTCAGGCCCAGGTAGCTCGTATTTTGACGTAGGACCTCCCTCATCTGCACCTGTGATCCGCAGGCACCGACCAGGCGCTTGTGGCCTTGTGTGGATAGTCTGCAACACTCTCCGTCCCTCACAGGACGATCAATATTGTTACCACAGAAAACTAAATTAAGTTCTTTACCTCAGACACTCCTCTCTGTTTCTCAGCATCCTACRTTGCAATTCATTAGTAAGTGAGCTGGAAGCACCTTTCTTTAGTGTGTGGGTGTCAAAACAACCCATTTCTCTCTCTTTTTCTTAAATACCCACGGCACTGTCTTCTGAAAACCTCAACCTAAATCACTGGAAACTTATTTCAGGTAAATTTCTGAATCTAACCCCACTGCCAAAAGCTTTCATTAAAATGTTTCATTATGTGAAAGACTGCATGGATGAACCACAAGAGACTTTAATGTATTATAAATGTTTTGGATTTTAAAGAAATGTATTTTTATTTTCTAAAACCAAAATATTAATGTTCAGTTTAAAGWAGTATTCTGATCTTTGGTAGGTCTGAAAATCCTGGCTTTTCCCCTCTGTGACTTTTAAAATTGAGGAAAAGASGACATCTGAGTTTATATTACTGGTCTACAACTTTCACAAAGATCAAGCAGGATATGTGGATTTAAATTAAAATGCAAGACAAACTTGTGTAGAACAGAAAGCCATGATTGTTATATTCTATGTTTAGTTATTTAATGACAGCAGTGATGAATGTGAAATGTAAGGAGTTGATATATAAATCTATGCACTCAGAATACAGCATGTGACTGAACCACCTGTTGTGCAGCTGCTGGACTGGAGCTGTGGATTTATAGGCACTTATTTAGTATTTGCAGACAGACGTGGAACTAATGTGACTATTCTGACAGTATGGCTTTCAATGCAGGGTTAAGAAATGCTGCACACATTTTATTTTCTGGACCACCTGTTTTATTGGATTTAAMGTTAAATATCTCTCAGGCGGTAGTGGTTTACCAAAACATGTATGAACAATTGCTGACGAACCTTTGTCCTAGTTTATCATTTGTATCAAATAGAATACATTATTTAGTGTTTATTTTTATTTTTGTCTCTGTTCAATAAAGGCATAAATCACACTATCATCTCAGTCTTCTATGGAAACGTATTGTTTTTAATGTCAATATTGACATTTTGATTTCTTTTCATTAAAATTTTTTTACAACAATGTGATATATACATTTAATTAAAATGTATATCTTCCAATATACTGTACATAATGGGCATTTAAAACTGTTTGCRTTTACAGCTTCTATTAAAGTGCTTGTGACATGAGTATCCTTCAGATACAGAATGTCAAATAAAACAACTTTATATTTAAGAAACTTTGCATAATACACATGATTTTACTCTTTTTCTCCCATAAGACACATATTTTCTTTTGGACTTGGCTCAGTTAAAGTGCTATCAAAGGGGAACTCTTTAAGAAAGACAACTTTGGTCTTTATTGAAACAATATTTAAACTTAATCTGTTCAATTCTCTGATAGTGACTCAAAATAATCTAAAGAAACATCAGATTCTTCTCTACAGTCTGTCTTAGCTRTTGTAGCATCGCTCTGTTTACATGCAGACGTTCCCCTTTGACATCACTTCCTGTTTMTTCACGTTCAAATATCTCAACAACTGCTCATCTCAGCAGTGTGAAATTAGTTTTGAAATATGTTATTAATGTTATCTTTCCTAAAATGTGTTTCATATTTATTACAAAAATTTGATGTCACAGGCACTTTAAGCAGTATACTGTAGCCACTTAATTTTTTWATTGGTTTATTATCTGAATTTTAACCAGTTGGTTTTAAATTTGTCTATTTACATTTATGTTGTTGCAGCAAATTAAAAGATAAATTTGGAGTTGGACATAATTTACTTAAATACAAACATACACATACTAACAAGTAGTTCACCAAAAATCTGGTAATTTGTGTCTGAGCAAAATACAGAAAACTTGTTCGTTTGTTCATAATTTTGAATTAGCTCAAATAATAACTTTGTATCTTGTAATTATGAGATTCTACATCTTAATTTAAACTAAGCATCTCAGTTATGAGATAGTAAATTATCA